ATTTCTTCATTTCATAAAGTGTTAAGTGATTTCATAAAGTTTTAGTAGCAATAGAGTGGATGTTCAAATAGAGTCATCTAGATGTTGCAAAGGGTAGTCTCACACACATGCATAAATGTAGTCTCACACACATACAAAAATATGTAGTCTTACACACGTACATAAATATATAGTCTCGCACGCATCCATAAATGAAGTCTTACAAACACACACTTACATAAACACTCCACGCTCAACAACTAGCTAGCCCAACAGAACGACTCTTTTACCCTTGACACCTTTTCGCTCCCATAGCAATATGTCTTTGGGGAGGTTTTTTCCACAACACTAATCTACTTAGAAAAGTCCGTGAATAGCGGCATCTCATCGAAGTTATTGTAAGCTTCAACATCATCCACGCCATCAACTCCAATAATGTGTTGTTTTCCTGGAGGCAACCACGTGCTTTGTCTTCTTCTTCGTGGAGAGGTTACTTTGTGGGTCGACATATAGAAAACTTGTGCGACACGTGAAGCGAGCACCCAAGGGTCATCTTGGTAGCCTAGATTCTCGAGGTCCGTAACTCTCAATCCGATCTCGCTGGGCTTGGTGTTGTTTAATCCAAAGCATCGAAAACGGGCCACCGTTATATCCCTTCCATAGTCAAGTTTCTATATCTCTTCAATGATGCCAAAGTATTGATATTTTGCCCCGATCCATCGAGAGCCTCTATTCAATGCCGTTGTTTTGGTTCACATATTTACTATCCTTTATGCGGGTATAGTACGATACCCATTGATGTCATAAGCATTTCAAGATGTCACTTGTCTCGATGGTAAAAGAGTCTATGGTTTCTCTAGGCGGTATGTTTTGGTCCTTCAACCATGTAGTTAGTCGTTGCTTTTGTGTTGTTTCACGCACCCAATCATCCGAACGGTTATTTCTCTCCGCCATAATGATAGCCAAGTGTTCATCAATGTACGGTTGCATCGGGCCTTGTGTACTCAGAAGACACCGTAATGCGCCCGACTCACCTCTTTGTAATCATGGTCGATGAACACTTTTCTACCATCGGTGCCCTTCCCCACCAAATTTACCCTTGTGACGAGAATCGGGTTTACTCAATCCCTTTCAGACTTTTTAGGTATTCTTGACAATACTCGAATGACTTCTTTAGTAATCAGAACCCTCTATCATGGAGCCCTCTCGGGTATGCTCGATTATGCGTGTATCGACTTAGAACCGACATGAACCGCTCAGAGGGACCACATTTCATGCAAGTAGCAAGGGCCGGCATACCAGATCTCGATGAACCATGTGAATCATGAGATGTGGCATTATATCAAAAAAAGCAGGAGGCAAACACATCTCCATTGATTTTGTGTCTCCACCACAAATTCATGTAGGTCACTCGACTCTTTGCTTGCCAATCGCCTTCCGTGAGATCTTGAAAAGAAGTAGCACATGGGTGATGGCCATTTTCAAGAACTCGCTTTATAGCCCTCGATTGCAATAGGTAGTAGAAACACCGCCAAGATCACATGGCAATCGTGAGCCTTGCAAAGGTGTTATTGACAAGTCCTTCATCGACACTAGCTTCTTCATATTTGTGAAAACCTAGTCGACATTGATCCCCTCGTGAAAGTGCATATAGCTCTCTTCTCGCTCTGGGTGTTAGGTTGAAGTGCACGCCATGGGCGAGTATATTTTCCATTAGCCTCGTGCATGTGGTGAAGTTGTGGCATCACGCTTAGTCGCACCATGTATTTCCGCTTTTAGACCATCCTTTGACTTGCTTCGTGTCCATCAAGGTGGCAATGAGACTCTCAAAGACATTCTTCTCGCATGTGCATAGCATCAATGGCATGGTGACCTCCAAGTCCGCTAATAAGGCGACATCGAAGAAGATCGATTGTTTCTTGAAAGGTACGCCTTCGACAGAAGGTGTGCTTCTATCTCTGTTCGTCCCATCTAGATTCTTCTTTCCATAGATGACGCACATGTTTTTCACCATTCTATAGACGTGTTCTCTCGTTATGACGCTTTCTTTGGAGAGGGGTTCAATCTCCGGGCGTTGTCATAAAATCTAAAGAACAATTTGTCTGCGGTACTTGTGACTTGTCTTTAAGAAGCGCCGGTTCCTTAGGGTAAACTATCTTCTTGGATGCATCTAGGTACACCCATGTAGTACCATTCAAGCAAACCAAGCATCCTGTCTTTCCTTTGATCTGTTTAGACAAAGCAAACAGCGTGGGGTAATCATTGGTAGTAACAAATATTATTGCTCTACATATGAAGTCCTCCTTTCGGAACGCATCGTACATTTGCTCCCCATGCCTCCATAGCCTCTCCATTTCTTGCATCAAAGGCTCGAGGAACACGTCTATATCAATGCCTGGTTGTTTAGAGCCAGAAATAAGAATAGTGAGGAGAAGGTACTTTCTCTTCTGACACAACCATATTGGGATGTTGTACATGGTCAAGATCACTGGCCATGTGCTGTGGTCACTCATCCTCTCATTGAAGGGATTCATTTCATTGGTGCTCAAGCCAAACCATACATTCCTTGGGTCATCGCTGAATTCTTTGTGCTTCTCATCAAACCTTTGCCACTGACTACAATCAGCCGGGTGTGCAATCTTATCATCATCCACCTTGCGCTCATCATCCCACCATGTCATGAGTGCGACTTCTTTAGGGTTTAGGAAGATACGCCTCAAGCGGTTGGTCTTGGCGGGTACCACATTACCAAGGCAGAATTCTTCCGCTTTGCATCGTTGCCTAATGGAGTGTCCTCAAATGAGATTCTTGTACCACCTTTTTGTACCCTTCTTATTCCTCTTTTTTCCCCATGGAGGCTTCGTCCCCACCGTAAAGGTCATTGTTCTTGTACTCGCCGGCCCACACCGAGGACATTTATCCGTTGATTCTTAAACGTTTCGCCATGAAAAAGTATACGAGTGGTTGGGGCATGTATGGATTTTTTCAATCCCCATTGTCAATGGACTTATGACCTTCTTCGCTTGGTATGTGTTGGTGGAACCGAAGTTTGGTTGTGGCAAAGACCCATGACAGAGATGCAATAGATCATTGAAACTACAATTCGACCAAATTGTATTTAGCCTTTTAGGATGGGCACTCAAGCAATAAAACGAGCAATGTCCAATGTGTCTGACAGCCCTTTTCAACACCATACACGCCTCCTTCGATGCCTTTGTCACCCTTTCCAAATTTTCTAGACCTTTCGGGCTATTTAGTAAAATCTCCGGGTCCAAGGGCTTGAATCATGTCCTCCAAATCATCTTCATCCCCGACACGTGCTCCACCATCATTATTGGCACCACCTTCGCTGCTACCATCCCAACCACCAAAGATCACCACCTTGTTCATTGCCAAACTCGAAATCCATTCGCTCATCAAGCTCTTGAATATTGGCACAAGGATTCTATGGTTTCGCCGTCAGATTCCTCCTCATCCTCGCTGTTAACAATAATCGTTTCACCATGATGAATCCACACACTGTAGTCCTCAACAATCCTCGCATAATCAAATGTGATCCGATGATAGTCACATCCGTCCATGTCATATGGTTCTTATAATCTTTACAGGACAAATAATTGTATCCTTATTCTCTTTCAATGTCGTTGCATGCTTCAATAAATTTATCCACCTCTTCACGGAAACCTACCTTGAACCTTAACGAATCATACATCCAAGAGTTCATGTACTCCATCTTTACAACAACAACAAAACAAACATTAAAGGACTACTTATTCAGATATATATAAAAATGAATCAAATTAATAATTACTTGAGAATAATTGTATATACTTTAGATATATATGAATATAAATCTAATATAATTACATGAAGCATACAACACACCATGGTAGAGGAAAATTAATTAATGGCCTATTTATCCATAAATAATTAAAATACACATTTATTGATTACAATAAACAATTTCATAGACAACAATTAGCAACAATTATACTTTATCCAATATCTTTCATACAAACCCTAGTCCAATTTTATCAAACATAAATTTACAAAAATAAAATTAATAAAAAATCAAACCCTAGATCTAGATCTACATGCACATGAAACATGCATAAAACTAACTAATTGTTCACTAAAATCAAGAAACATGGACCAAATAAGGGTATAATCTTGTTCTCCTCTCTAATTTATCCTAGTACATTTAAAACTTGGGTCTAATTTGCTTCATAAGTAGCTCAAGCACCATAGAAGAGAGAGAAAACAAAACTTTAATTACTCACTAACCAACCATTAAAACTTAAAAAAAAAGTATGAAATAGCATTTTCTTACCTTCTACAACCTCTCCACCAAAGGATTTGAGACCAAACTTACGCCTCTTAGTAAAGCAATTTTTGGGAGGTGCCCAAGGCCTCCCCACCTTTCTTTCACCGGGTTGGAGTGAGTGACCCGAGGAGGAAGAAGATGTCATGTAGCTTATATGTGGGTCATTTGTAGGGACGACCGTGATTGAGCCGCCCTACAAATCGGAGGTATTTTATACGGGGCATTTGTAAGGCGGCTCAATCACCACCGCCTTTACAAATAGAAATGCCGGGCGGTTAGAAGTGAGCCGCCCTACAAATCAAACTCATTTGTAGGGCGTTTCAGATCACCACCGGCCCATCGTTCATTTGTAGGCCGGTGGTGTCTAGGCTCCCGAACGACGCCATCGTAGGGGCGGCTCCATCACCACCGCCCTACTAAAAAAATTCGTCCCGTTGCTAAAAATCGTTTTTTACGTAGTGAGTATGCGTGCGTATTGTGAGCGTCTATGTTGTACTGTGTAAAATTCAAAATGCAAACAATACGTTGCAACTTTGTTCAAACATTTAACTGAACACGCTTCCTATACTCATATTCGGAGATTGCTTCACATACCGCTTAAAACCGAATACTTCACATTTGGAAGGCCCAAACAGCCCAAATACTTCTTCAAGGCGATTTTTTTATTTTTAACACTTTTTTTAAACTATTTTTAATTCTAACACTGCTTTTTTCAAATCTAACACTTTTTGCCGCACCTATTGCCACGGCAAGGGAAAACAACTCTGTCGTGCCATGCATGGCGGCGCGGCGGCGGCGATGACGTGGCACTTCCCCGGGCCATGGCCGCTGACATGGCAGGAGCTGCCGTGCCACGCATCTTGGCGCGGCAAGTGCCGCGCCACGGCCCACGGTGCGGCGAAGCCCAACACAGGACTGCGGCCCGGCCTCCCTCTCCTCACAAGGATGCGTACGATGAGGCGACAAGGATGGAGACATAGCTTCAGAGAGCCCCGCTACAGAGATACGTGGTAAGAAATTTGAATTTCAATACAACTGCACGTCGGCGTTCCTATGAATTGTAGTGATACGAACTTACCTCGATTGTGTATGCAGGCAACACAGTTGACAAGTCTGTCCAACGAAGCAGCCGTGCGACTTCACGAGACCATAGAGGAGCCACACGGCATTCTACACGTCTTCGTCGATGCACATTCTATTTTCAAAGCCATGACCGTGGTTAAATGGTTCCCATGACTCATTCATCCGTGTTTTCTTTTTTTCAGAAAGTGAGGAGGAGCTGCAAGAAGCTGACACAGAAGCTCAGCTGCATTGATACTCCGTGGGAGATGCCCTATGACCTGGACCTGTCTAGTTCCTTACGCTCGAGTACTATGCCGACACGAGCAGGTTCCTCCGATACGACGGCTGCTGGGACTTCTCATGTTCGTACTCCCGGCAATGCAGGCAAGGGTCCTGCGGAGCACGACGTTGAGGAGGACGAGGACGAGGACGAGGACGAGGACGAGGACAAGGAGGAGGACTACGATGAGATTGGGATGTCTCAGCTTTGTGATGCACCATTTCCTACACGGTTAAATAATGTGTACTTGAAACAAACCTTCGTTATATACGCCACAATTACTTAAACATTGTAAGTAATGATGCCTATATTGTAATTGCAAGGTCCTAGTTACACTCAGCAGTACCTCCGAGTTTACCGCCAGCGAGACCGTACCGACGTTGGGTTCACCCCTAACGCATCGCCTTCACGTCCAAGAGGCAAATGACGTCATGCGGTACCCATATACTACTGGGTCGTAGGAGTTCTTTAGGATAACATGGTGCACTTATACTCGGACACCCATATACCGATGGAACATGTAGTATGTCGAGTAATGTCGAACTTATGTATTGATGAACTTGTGTCGTAATTATGACTTGTCGAGCTTATATCTAATGCAGGTATTGTCGAATCCTTATGGCGAAGATAGTATTGTGAACTTGTGTATTGATTGTCTCGCACTTAACCTTCATATCGACCTATTCGTTAAACCGATACACGATTTAAATAACTCATGTGAGAACATAATGAAGTGTTTTGTTCCATTTGCTGCCGCTTTGACCGCCGCGCCATGGCTGGGGCGTGTCAGCCTTGTTGCTGCGCTGCAGTAGTGTGGCGGCACAACAGCTCCTCGCCACGTTAGCGCCATGGCCCGGGAAGTGCCCACTCGCCGCGTTGCCATGCATGGCATGCATGGCGCAGAAGTTGTTTTTCCGCGTCGTGGCAATAGGCGTGCTAAAAAAGTGTTAGATTTTAAAAAAACAGTGTTTATAATTAAAAATAGTTTTAAAAAAGTGTTAAAAAAATCTTCAAGGGGAAAAGCACCAACGAGCACCGCGCCAACAAGTAATGACTTTGCTCGGTATACAAGCATGTGAAGCAAATGTTAAATGCAACGAAAATCATCCACGAATGACAGTAATCCATACATCGCATTGCAGAGTACCACATTAGATACAGCATAAAAATGAAATAAGGTAGCAGTTATTCACTCCCTACACTACCTGCACCTGACACAAATGCGAGCATCAGAGAGGAGGCCCCAATCGGGGAATTATTTGTCAGGCAGAAACCACGACGCAAAGACGGAATAAAAAAAAAGGCAAGTTTATCGCAAATCTTCACAGGTTTGTTCCATGTTCGTTTTGAAGGGAAGACATGATTCCCTTCAGGCGTCCAACTGGAGCTTCTTGATCGTGTCGATCTGCTTTGCCGGGTTCAGGCCCTTGGGGCAGGCATGCGTGCAGTTCTTGATGGTGTGGCAGCGGTAGAGCTTGAACTCGTCATTGATGGCGTCCAGGCGCTCCTTGGTGAACTGGTCACGGCTGTCCTGTATCCATCTGGAACAACGAATGGACATTTTATAGCACAAGACCCATCGTGGAATGCAAGCATGCCCTACCTGGGCATCACAAGTTCAAAGCTCATAAACTGAACCAAACCGGGCAAGTACTTCACAATCACTCCATTGGGATATAAATATTGCACACCAAAAAACATTAATGTTCATTAATTACACTAACTGCAAACAAAGTTGGTTATCATATTATTTAATGAAAGTTAACTGCCATATCTTAGTTCCTATGATCTAACACAAACCCTCTATGTGGACATCAAATAAATTAAACAGAGGTAAGATGAATCAAACAGCTGATGTATGGATCATACAATCAAATAAAACACTGGAATAACAAATGACTCAACATATCAGCATGGATCGCAAATACGTTAATGCTGAACAGACTTCAGAGAAGTGAGAAGTCCAGAAGGTAGAATAAAAGTAGCCAAAAACACTGAAACAAACAACTTATGAAGTCGGATTACTCTAACATACAATATTCACAATCATTCTGAGCACATGATGTAAACTTTGGAGTGAGGTGGCAACTACTTATCAACATGAAGTACAGAGTAACTGATAACAGAAACAAGCGCAACATATTCACAACCCAGTGTGAAGATAACAGAAAAAAAAATCTGCATTCAGAAACAAGTTCTGATCCTTTAACTTCATAAGTGCATAATATATATAAAAAAACAGTACAGTACACTGATTCAGCTAAAATATTTAAATAAAATTGGCTGCTGGTCAGAAACTTTAAAGCTTGTTTCAGGGATCACACACTGAAAGGTTGCATGTAAACAACCTTATTTTCCTGTACTACTGCAGAGCTATCGCTTTTTTCTACTGGCTCGTTAGCATCTACCACGATGCTTTCTTTACGCCCGTCAGTTCACCCTTGTTTGCCAATGTGCGGAACACAATACGGGACATGCGAAATTTCTTGTAGACAGCGCGAGACCGGCCTGTGAAAATGCAGCGGTTTCTAAGGCGTGTCATGGAGCTATTTCTTGGCAACTTGGACAACTTATAGCGGAACTTCTCCCGCATATCCAATGGAAGATCAGGGTCCCTACAGACAGCCTTATACAGCTTTCCCCTCAGCTCATATTTTTCTGCAAGCAATCTACGTTTGTGGTCCCGCAGGTTTCTCTTCTCTGACACCCCGTGATATCCTCGAGCTTGAAGGTGCATGAACATGTTGGGTTTTGGTTTGATAAGCGTCCCCCACAGCGGAAGCCTAAAAAGGGTGAACGTGTCATGGACTTAGCAACATCCTAAAACTTAGAACAAAGAAAATTTATCATATTAGACAGCTATCATTCAAGGGAAACAAGTGCAGAAAAATCCACAAGAACTGGCTTTAGCATCTTAAATTCGCTTGATCATCAGTGTAGTTTAACGGTGATGAAGCGAGGAACTAGCACTCTCTATACTGGAAGAGAGGTTAGCAGTTCAGCACGCCACTGCCAAACAACTTATCAGAGGAATAGATTCACCAAAACATCCACCATATGTTAATTTAAGTTGGGCGATGTGACATGTTTGCAACTCATAAGTTAAATGCTAGAAGAATACTAGAACCACAATGCCTTTAAAGCTGTCTAAGCGATCTTCTGCAGAAATGCATTCAACACATTTCCTTAACTAGTGATACTAATATCATCAGATCATAGTCACAGCAGCTACCCAATCATGATCATGGAACCACTTCACATGGGTGTTACTGCCACCAATATAAACAACAAAGGATCATCACATCTAAGGAACAAACAATTCATCAAGACATCAGACCAATAACCAATCTACCTGGATCACAATCATCTCCAGGTTTGCGTAGCTAAGCTAGCAACTATATCAATCTACACACATCACTTCAATTGGCAATCTACCTGGATCACAATCATTTCCAGGCTCACGTAGCTAAGCTATCAACTATATCAAACAATCTACACACATCACTTCAACTGGAATTACTTCATGATCAGCAGAGCATGACTTGCAACCGATCAATCACACATCACTAAGCAATCATCAAACAGTTCAAATGGAATTACTTCATGATCAGAAGAGCATGACTCACGACCGATCAATCACATATCATTCAGCAATCATCAAACAGATCCAGCATACATCACTCAGCAATCATCCATCTCAGTATCAAAGGGGGTAGCAATGATGCTGGTATACCTGTTGGCGTGGAGCAGCGCGGCTGGGCCGAGGTACTCCTCGGGGTTCCACCAGTAGGACGGGCAGGAGGTGGAGCAGCAGGCACACAGGATGCACTCATACATGCCGTCGAGCTTGGCACGATCGGCCTTGGTCTGCGGGATCTCCTTGCCCTGCTGCGGCGGTGGGTCCTTGCGCTTGAGCCACGGCTCGACGCTCTTGTACTGGTTGTAGAAGTTGGTCATGTCCACCACCAGGTCCTTGATGACGAACATGTGGGGCAGCGGCGAGACCGTGGACGCCGAGGACGCCGAGGAGATCTTGGTGAGGCAGGCGAGGCCGTTGTCGCCGTCCATGTTCATGGCGCAGCTCCCGCAGATGCCCTCGCGGCAGCTGCGGCGGAAGGTGAGCGACGGGTCCTGCTCGTTCTTGATCTTGAGCAGCGCGTCCAGCACCATCGGCCCGCAGTCGGACAGGTCCACCTGGTAGTCCTTGAGGTGCGGCTTCGTCGACGGCGAGTCCGGGTCCCACCGGTAGATCGAGAAGGTCTTCGTGTTGGACGCGACCTTCGCCAAGCGCCGCCGGCGGCGGCGCGGGGGACGAGGTGGGACTTGGACGCGACGAGGCGGGACGAGAGGGCCGGCGAGAGGAGCGCGCGCGCCGCCGGCGAGCGGCGGAGCAGGGCGGCGGCGGCCATGGATGGATGCGGATTCCGATTTGGGGTCTGCTCTTTTTTTTCCCCTGGAAGGTTGGGGGCGCGTGGTGGGCTTGCGAACGGAAGGGTATTTATATGTGAGGTCGTTGGTGGGTGGATGACATGTGGGGTCGGGAAGGGAGCGATCGGAATGCCGGTGCTAGGGTTGGGGCGGGAGGATGACATGTGGGGCATGAGGGGTTTGGTTTGGGCCTGGTTTGTGGGTGGGAGCGTGGAGATGTGGACGACTCGTGGGCCGCTCTGCAAGATGACAAAACAAAGTTGCTGACTTTCGAGGGCGTTTTTCTTTAACTTCTTTCTAGGGCGTTTTAAGATCACTTTGGATAGTTCTTGATATTTCCTCTTTTCTTCACTTTCTGTGTTTGCGTTGATGTCATGGTTGACATATTTTTTTCTAACAGAAAAATAAACTGAGGAATTATATGAAAAATAGTCATCAGAATGTAGTTACAATTTAATTTATGATGAAAGAAAAAAAAAATAGCTTATCTAATTCGGTGTCTTATGGTGGGAGCAAAACATATTCATCCAGACTTAGTATTTAGGGTGTGTTTGGTTAGCCTATGAGATGTGGAAAAGCTACGGCGAGCTACGAGAAAGTTGTAATGCCCCTAAAGGTCTAAAAGACTGATTATATGCTAATTGATCGTAAGACACTAATCAATTCAATTATCCACATATGAATAAAGATCTTAGAATGGGAAACTACATTTTTTTAATATACTACATCCGTTGTAGACATATGGTCCATATAAATAGATTGCTAGATTAGTACAAACGACATATGGTTCATATAATGACGTCTTGTGTCACCATATATCTATCTACCTCTCGTACTAAACCAAAGCATTAGCTATCCTAATGCGAATGATATTCATGGTATCCTCGTTTCCCCATCTTTCCCATCATGACTCCCTTGTGTTTGCCTATCAAAAAAAAAAAAAGACTCTCTCTTGTGTTTGTGCCGCCGCACAATTCACATGTCCCTTCTGATAGATACTCCTCATCCGCATCACATTATCAAACTCCTTATCATGAAACTTGGATATAGCAACTAATATTCGGTTTGGATAAACCTCATGTCGACGAGATACCCTATTCGGTTTGGATATATAATACGTGCTTCCTTTAAAAGAGGTAAGATACCCTATTCGGTTTGGATAACCATAGTCGACGAGATAACATTTTCCTAAAAATACAATTCAATATAAGCAACTAATAATGAAATCATTTGGTAACTTAGTAAGAAAAATGTTTACCTTTATGAGGCACGAAAAACGAAAGAAAATTTGCTAATCCATGATAGGATCCTTGTGTCATGTGCCGAGCCCAGCCAACCAACAACTACCAACCGCAAAAATAAACCTCATGTCAAAGTCACATATAGCAAGCACATTCTGAGATGTATATCCATGTCGACATGTGTGGTTAACCACGTCCTCTGCAGGCACTGAAACTAGAACATGCGAACCGTCTATAGCTCCAATCGCACCTTTGAAATAAGGGCAATAAACGGTCCTCTTTAACCTTCTCCACACAAGAAAATATTCTAGATGCGGTTCATCATCTCCTTCTCGTGCTCTCTCTCAAGCAAATTGAACCTCTCTTCATTAGTTTCAAGCAAACTAAACACCTCCCTAAATTTAGGCTTCACAATTAGGACGCGGATGTGTGCATCAAAGCAGTTTTTTCTTGTACACCACAACCTTTCACCATCTTCATGGCCTCTCGCAATGCTAGGGACCAGATTGGTTGGATCCTCCTCGTGCTCCTCTCTAAGCAAATCGAACCTCCTTCATTAGTTTCAAGCGAGCTAAACAACTCCCTAAATTCAGGCTTCACAATCAAGGACATGGATGTGTGCATCAAAGCAGTTTTTTCTTGCACACCACAACCTTTCACCATCTTCATGACCTCTGCAATGCTAGGGACCAGATTGGTTGGAGGAGCTGATGATGCTTCAACACTTTTGGTGATCTTCTCTGCTGCAGATTGGATCTTCAAACATGTATTTCTGTACAATCGAAAGAATGGGCTCTTCTCATCCTTCTCTTTAGTAGCACTTGAGGAGTACTAGCATTTCTTCTTTCTTGGTTTTGCTTTCTTGAATGCAGCTAACTTGATATCCTCGGTAAGCCTGTCGCCGGGTATTCATACCCAGTATTCAAATCCATATCCACGTGAAACGGGGAGGGTATGGATAGAAAATCTCATACCCGTTCGGGTATGGGTAACATCCGTTGAGAAACGGGTACGGGGAGGGTATTCTATCTATCTTGTGCATCCTTCTCCATGGACGGCAACGCGAGGGACCTCAACCTGTTCCCGGTCGCCGCAGCCACGAAACCCTGCGCCGTGACGACGGCCCCGGCTCCGGCGCCGGCGCCAAGCCCCGGCTCCGCGGTCAGCGCCATGACGACATACCACAGCGTGTGCACGATCGTGAAGGTGAAGACGGCCCTGGAACGGTTTGAGCGCGGCAAGCAGCAGCAGCCCCATCCGCACCAGCAGCAGCAGCACAGCGGTGCGGGCGCGTCCCCGTCGTCGTCGTTTGTGACCACGTCCTCCGTGAAGCGCCACGGCGTCGGCGTGGAGCAAGGCGACGGCTGCGACTCACCCTCCGGCGGCGGCGGCGGGATGGTGGCCGTGGCGTGCTCCAGGTGCTTCCTGTACGTGCTCATCTCCTGGACCGACCTGCGGTGCGAGTCCCATGTCCTGGCCCTACCGGCGCCGGCGCCGGCCGTGAGCAAGAAGCCGCGGATCGACCTCAACGTCGGCTACCTCGGCACCACAAGTTCGCGTACGTACACAGGAAGTACCCGGCGACATAGCTGCCGTCTCCTGCATGAATGGCGTGGCCGGCGTTGCTCCTGGGTCAACACGCAGATGGGCGGCGGCGGGCACCGGAACGAGACGGACGGCAGAGGCAACGAGGAGGACTTGGCGTTGCTGTTGATCGACTACCCCGGCAGCGAGCGTAGGGCATTTCTACTTAGCTAGCTGATGACGATGAGGCCGGAGACATACATAGTTAGTCACTGCTCAATTATCTAATGAATATGGGGAAATCGGGTATGAATAAAAGTCGGGAGGGGAACATGTGGATAAGCAAGATATGGGTATGAGTATGGATACGTACGGGTGTATCCATACCCTCCCCAACGACAGGCTTAATCCTCGGCATCTGAAGTTTTTGTCACTTTGGTCACATCATCATCATTACTTGATTCATCCGATAATATGTCCCCAGGACAAATTGCAGTGGTCCCACTAACATGAATCTTACCGAACATAATGTGCAAATCATCAAGGTGCTTTGGTCCATGTTTTTGGAACCTCATATGATTGCATTTGATCCCCTTCTCAGGATTGTTGCATCTCTCAAATCAAATTAAAAAAGTTAGCAAGTGCAACCATATAGAATCATGATCATTGAATAAAGAAAAATGTAGTGCAAAACTTACAGCAAGGTGTTCATCCCACCATTCTTTAGTGCAGTCAACTGTTTGCTTTGCATCATCCCATCCAAGTCCAGTGGCAGCATTTTTCAACTCCATAAACCATGTATATTCCTTTCTCATATTATTCCACTTGTTCTTCAATTGTTTCTTTGTTAGTCTTTTACCTGTTTTTTTCCTCAAATTTGTCTACAAGTTTTTCCCAACTGGCTCTATTGAACCCAGCCTCGATCTCTCCTTTGCAAATATCAATGAAATGCCTCAAATTGGCACCACTCCAATCCGCTCTCTCTGCCATGCTTGAATCAAGCAAAAAAAAATATTTCATTGAAGTTAGTTATCACAACAACAATGTGTTAAAAAAAATATATCCCACTGATCACAGCATCAAAAAATTAATAGGAATACAAGTGCTGTCAGATTGGATCTGTGATCATTCACAAATGCTGTCAGGTTGGCCACTGATCACAGCACCAAAAAATTAATAGGAATACAAGTGCTGTCAGGTTGCCTCTGTGACCATTCACAAATGCTGTCAGGTTGGCTACGGCGTACAGTGAAGAAGTCACGAATTCTGGTGCACAACACTACACTAGCGAACAAGAAGAACAGCGAGCATGGGGATTTTGGCATCAATTTGTACATGCGAGCACTGAACAGAAACATCACATCAATCCATACACACAAACACTGAACCTAAAACACAAATTTCACAGGAATCCATACAATGCGAGCACTGAACAGCGGGGGGAGGGGTTTAATACCTCCGGCCGGCAAAACAAGGTGTCCGGGGAGGAGGACGAGAGGGCAGAGAGGGACGCTGGAGAGGACCCCGACGAGCGGCGGTGCACAGCCGGGCTGGACGCGGACGCGGCCGTTGATTGTTCGGGGAGGAGGAGAGGGCGGAGAGGACCACCGGAGAGGAATTGGCTGCTGGGAGAAACTCGCCGCCGGAAATGGTGCGGCGGCGCCGGCGCCCGCAACCCTAGCGCGTGCGGGGCGGTGCTTGTGCTTCTGTCGGAGTCTTTTATAGACACAGATGGCCCCATTTTCATCCACTCCGAGTGGCAATATAATCCAACTTTGAAGTCCTAAATATGCAATTTTGTTGAGGAGTCGCACGAGAAGAGGAAAAGAAAAGAAAGATCGGAGTGGTACAGTTGAAAAAGTTGAAAATTGCAGCCGTAGAAGGAAAATCATACTAGAGGGAAAAACAGTTTTCTTCTCTACAGAAGCAGCTACAGCCTACAGGTTGCGCCCAGCTTTTAGTTTTTTTTTGTTGGCAAAAGCAGTTTTCATAAACCCAACCAAATACACCCTTAACTATACTTGCATTCTTGGTTATTTTTTTCAATGGTAAATCACATGCTCTTAAATAGCAAGGTGTCTATGGTAACTTTAGTCTTAAGATCTTGCTTTCATATTATACGACAGGTCAACGAGGATTGTGCGGGTGAACCAATTTTTTTAGGATTTTCAGGTCATTTTAGATAGTTCTTGATTTTTTTTCTTGTTCGTTACTTACTTTTTTGTTGCCGTTGTGGTCGACATATTTGGGATTAAAAAATAATTTAAAATATTACATGGACAAATGAGCTATCAACAGGTAATTAGAATCTAATTGGTGATGAAAGGAAGAAAAATGAACCCGGTTTAGCAAAGTTTGTGGAGCATAGAACTTAACCGCTTAATAAACACTTAGAAGAGAAAGAGAAACATCAGATCACGGGTGCCATTCGCAGGTAAGTCTTCACTTTCAATTCAAACAAACAAGGGAGCAAATATATAGAAAATAGAAAAATCAAAATGAAGAATGGGAAACCATTTCGTTTAGTCGACGGAAGCTACGAGCGTCATGACGGCCCAATCCGGCCCATGGTCATCTAAGACCAAAGGCCCATTTGTACTCCAGGCTCCCACTTGCAGCCCAACAAGACCCGTGTTTTACGAGAAAGAATCAAGGCCTACTCCCACGGCCCTTTACCCCCAGGAAGCTCTGCGCTTCTTCAGGCACGCGCTCCACCACCTGCCTCCTCCGCCCCTGCCTTATGAGTGATGACACATTTGCCTTCGCGTTCGTGTTCAAGGGTTGCGCAACGTCTGGGGTGGCCTCGAGCCGATGCGCAACTCCATTCGTGGTCCGCAAGGTGTTCGAGTTCCAGGCCTACGTGCACGCCGCCCTCGTCGACGTGTATGACGTCTCTAAACGCTTGGTGGAAGCACTGAAGGTGTTCGATGGAATGCCGGTGAAGAATGTGGTTTCGCGGAATGTGATGATCACGGGCTTCGTCGGGTGGGTGAGGTTGAGTATGCGAGGCTTCTGTTTAAGCAGATGCCCTGCAGCAATGTTGTCTCATGGACCAGGCCGATTGATAGGTGTGTACGGCTGTACGCGTGCCTGCCTTTATACGGAGGCTGTTGGCTGTTGCTCTTTTCTGCCAGATGATGGCAGGAGGCATTAGCCCGAGTGAGATACTGTTTTAGTAGTTATTCCTGCAATATCTGGATGGATCATTGTGGGTGAGATGCCGCTTGGCTATTGTGAGAAGAAGGGTACCGTGTCAGATGTCTTTGTTGAGAATTCGCTCAGACTTGTATGCTAAGATTGGCTCCAGTGCAGAACTCGCTAAAGGTGTCTGATGAAATGCTACATAGAAAAACCTAGTGCCATGGACACCGATAATTTCTGGTTTTGCAATGCATGGGTTGTCAGTTGAGGCAGTTGAACTGTTTGCAGGGATTAGGCCCAACAGAGTCACCTTCTTGAGCGTCATTGATGCTTGCAGTCATGGGGGGCTGATGGAGCAAGGGTTAGCGTTTTTTAAAAGCATGATCTTTTAGTACAATATAGATCCAGGGGTCGAGCATTTTGTTTGCATCATAGACATGCTTGGTAGGTCTGGACGGTTGTGTGAGGCCAAGCAAACAATAGATGGGTTCCCTATACAGGTTAATGCAGTTGTATGGAGGATGCTGTTGGGTGTTTGCAGTAAGTATGGAGAAGTTGAGATGGGGGAGAGGGCTATAAAGAAGATACTGGACTTAGAAAGAGAATGCGGAGGTGATTTTGCAGTGCTGTCCAATATTGTAAGTTCAGTGATGCTGAACAAGCGCGGAAGTTACTGAATTAGAGGAAAAGTAAAACTAGTAAGGTTCCTAGGATTGCTTTGGTTGGTGAGATTCAGTAGTTGTCAATTGTTCAGTCTGATGAGAGGAAGAAGCTCTCTCAAATTTTCTTGCAACCTTACCACTTTAAGTATCTGCCTGTAGTATACCAACTTCAATAATTCTCCTGATAATTTGCCCTTTTTATCTTCCATGTAAAGAAACAAAATTAAATTTTATTGTTTCTTGGCTGCTAAATAGGTTGTCATAAATGATATGCCTGCAATCCCATATTTGTTAATTCAGCGCTATCATTGTGCCATCTCACTTCGTTTTCTTTTTGTGTCCTCATAATAAGCCTCAAAGGCATGCTGCATTTGGTCACTTGTTTCCACCTCCAAAATGACTGCTTCACCCCAAGTACAGCTGTTTGTTAGACCATTTACCTATCTTACATTTCCTTGCAGGAAGCAGGTGAAGTGAACGTAATGTCTAATTCTTTCTCCTCTTTCACTAGATCGTCTTGTAATGATGGAAGCTGTAAAGAAGCTCCATGCACTTTCTGGCCTGCACATCTGTCAATATGCCACAGACAACTTGACATTTCTTTCGCATCTAAAACTTTTGCAAAAACTTATGCTCACAAGGAAGGTGAACAGATGCACATCCATGTTATAAAATTTGGATTTCTTCTGGACATCTTTGTTTCCAATTCGCTGATTCATCTATATGTTGCTTGCGGTGATCTCGTCTGTGCAAGATCTGTCTTTAATGATATGCTAGTTAAGGATGTCGTGTCCTGGAATTCCTTGACTGATGCACAACTGTAGCGGCGACCAAAGAGGGTTGATTGATTGCTGACCTTAACTATTCAAAAGATTTGAGGTCTTCATGATGAGTTAGTATCCCTCTGAATGTATTTATTTTAGTAGCTTGCATCATGTAATGCTTTAGATATTAGAAATTATGTTGCTATACTTTCTGAGTTTTTAGCTATGCTAATTTGTAAATATACATTGCAGTGGATACTTTTGTTATTTGTAGGTTTTTTTTGTAGTTAAATTTTTAGGTTGAGGAAAATACAAGGAAAAACAATGTTGCAATTTCTTCAAGAAAAAATAGTTTGGCTATGAATCTATGATGTTTACTGTTAGCTTTTTTCATTGCTATGTTGCACATATGATGGTTAGATGATGTTGCCTGCATGGGTAATCATCATTTTAGTGTGAGCAAACCTTCTACGCACTATGATATATGTTGACGATATAGTAGGTTTTTTTTTCTCGAACACGCAGGTGATGATTTAGTAGTCCATTCGTCATTTCCTTCTGTGCTTTGGTCTTCGCTAATTCTTTTTTTCTTTCACGTTGAATCCTAGACTAGAAAGGACAGTATGTTTCTCTTGCAGTAGTACATTGCCATTTAGTTGTGGAGATCAATTATCATTCACATTGTGTACAGAAAAACATTTACATGACTAAATTGTGTCCTTGCAGCTGGGATAAAACATGTAGATTGTAGCCACTGAATGACTTCAATGTCGAGCTATATATAGAAATCTTGTTCAATTGCTGAAAATTAACTAGCGCAGTACCTGACTACCTTCTGCAGAATTGGACAGCATATATAAGTTGTGTATGTTTGTTGGGGCTGCTCACTGCTGGGATATGGTATATCTTCAGGGAAGTACACAACTGCATGGTTAGCATCAGCGACAGTAACTGTCGTTGGATTGAAGGTGCTTGTGCTCAGCATGGACACTCCATGTTGGCTGCTGCAAAAGTTGACATCAAGAACAGGTCGTTTCTTTGCTGCATTTTTCCTTTCGGATCTTAAAATGAGTCCCATTCATGTGTTTTTGCACGGTTAACTGCTATTGGTTACTGCATTGCAAGTTCTTACGCCATTCATGTTGCTGCAGGTTTTTACTCCCTTCTACTTTGCTTTCGTTTGGTATCTACCTCTTCTATTCTGTAACCTTTTTCTACATTCATCCTATCCCAGGTTTCTAATTTCTCCACCATTCTTCACTGTATGCCTCTGTGCTTTACTATCTTTCTGCTACACAGTAGATGCATTCTCCAATAGTACAAACAATTCATTAGCATAATTATAGAGGTGGGTCAGGATCTGGGACTATACCCAGTGCAGTGTATTTCTGGTACAAATCTTTGGGCTGCTTTGTGCTTTGCTCTCTCATTTATGTTGTTGTTTGAACGAGCAAATGGGATGAGCAGAATCTTTAATCTCTGTATGCCAACACTCTTAGATGTGATACCAATTTATTCTTTCAAAGAAAATACTCTGCCGATTTGCTATACTACGTTTTGTATTAATTCGCCTCTATACATATAAGACTGCACCCCATATAGAGTGTCACTGCATGGAGACAATTTACAATTTATCTGTAGTGCTACAAAACAGCTGAAGAAATTATGGACTCCTGTTATGAATCTTTGGGGCAGGGGGTGGATGAATCATGGTTGGCCTCCTTGCATTTATACCTTTACTTGAACTAGCAACTGGTGCAAGGAATTTTGCTTCACTTTACCTAAATATGGGGTTAATTCTGGTACCTTGCTGTGGGATACACGAGTTTATGTTTCCTTTTGGTGTCCAGATATATATTATAATGCTCCCATGTAGTCCATTGCAATTTAAAACTTCCTAGAAGGTTTGTTCTAAGCGATGGTTCCCACTGTTCAATCATACCCATGTTCTCCCTGTAAGCGTCTTGATATAAAACTGCCCTGTTGTTACTTGTACCCTGTTCTGGCTCTCTAGGTCACCAGGACAAACTGGTGAGTTTCTCTGATACTATGTGCCATGGTGTATCAGTGTATGTGTTTTGTATCATTATGCATAAAAGAGGTGTATGAATTGAGTTGTATCTGCATGACCCATATACTTGGTGATGTAGGGTTTAGATGTTGATATTATCTGAAGATTGTTTTATGATTTTGGTTGATAATATTCAATAGCTTGTGAGAATATTCAGGTAAATGTCCCTTTAGCTTCTTGTGCTTTTTTTTTTAAGATGCTACGGGGGGACAATTTGTCCGCACCTGATTTGATTACCACAGATCCCAGGAATGGAAGGGCATTAGCCCAGAGGGTTTGGCTTGGCGCCATAGTTACAAATAGAGAGCGAGGTAGGAGAGCAATACATCACAATTACATGAAACTAATGGATCTCCAGAAACTAGACAAGGCGGTGGAGCTTCTAGGTAGCCGGCATTACCACAGAACAGCGGTGGCTTTGCAGGTGGCTACCAATCTTTCTACATTCGGCGTCATTCCTCTGAAGATCACGTCATGTCGGTGCTTCCATAGCTCCCAACAGCACAAGAGAAGAAAGCTCGAGGCCGCTTCCTTGGGCACTTGGTCTGGCATCCTGGTTTCCCAGAGGCTCTGAACTGCATTTGGCTGCCATCCAATCCTTCTCCAGAATGAGCGAGCAAAGGAACAGCCTGACACAATGTGATCTGCGTCTTCATTCTGGCGCTTGCACAGGTCACAGATTGCATCTGACAAGAGCCCTTTCCTTGCCAAATTGGTCTTGCACTGGATCCTGTCTTGAACCAAAAGCCAAGCGAAGAATTTCACACGTGGAGGTGCAAAGTTGCGCCATACAAAATCAAAGGAAGGCAGCTTCTGCTCGCCTCTGATCGATGCCCTATAGATCATCCCGGCAGCAAGCTTGCCATCGTGCTTGGCAAACACACAGATTCTACCATCAGGGGTGGCTTCGAGCGTCACCTCGTATAGAAGGTGTCTCAGCTGGTCCAACTCGTCTTCAGCTTGTGGGGATAGCCGTGACTGAAGCATTGATCGCCAGTCACCATTGAGGACTGTATGCACTGAGGCGTCTCCTTTGGTGAAGTGACTGTGTAGCGAGGGGAAAGCATCAGCTAGTGTTGAACTTGTTGACCACCGGTCCAGCCAGAAGGATGTGTCTTCGCCATTGCCCACTCTGACATGAGAAATACTCCTGTAGGCAGGCAGCAGTTCCCTGATCGCTTCCCAGTGTGGGCCGGCTACATCTCCTTGGAGGTCAGCCAGCCGGACACGGCCCCTTGCCCAAGCTGCCCAGGAAGAGTCCCCCGGATGGTGAAGCCTGTGAATGAGTTTAATCAGCAGACAAGCATTTTGGGTGTCCAAGCGTTTGATCCCGAGTCCCCCATCTTCCTTTGCCTTGCATACATTCTCCCATGCAACCAGGCATTTTCTCCCAGTGGTCTTGTCTGATCCATTCTGGAGAAGGATTGGATGGCAGCCAAATGCAGTTCAGAGCCTCTGGGAAACCAGGATGCCAGACCAAGTGCCCAAGGAAGCGGCCTCGAGCTTTCTTCTCTTGTGCTGTTGGGAGCTATGGAATATGACGGACTAAGGCCATGGCATATGACGGCAGACCATCAAGCACTGCGTTGCTTCTTGTGCTTATTGACTGTCAAACCTATTTTTACTGTTCTAGGATAAACTGCTAAAAAATCCTGGGAATGGGCACATTTAGGCGCTCAATTAGGTTTTCAATTTTCTTTTTTGTGGTTTTCTTCATATATAGCATGTTGTGGCTTACCCTTGCACATATTGCTGTTTCATTTTCCAAAGGATAGCGTGCTGTTTCAGTTACATTATTCTGCTCTGCAATCTCTCTTTAGTTTGGTGTCTTCCTTTTACCGCAGATAGTGTTTACAGTACACTTTAAGCCCATTTGATTAGATGCGGTGCCTATCAATATAGTGGCATGTCCTATGCTTTTCATTTTGCTCCAGTAAGTGCATTGGTCTGTATATAATGCATTGATGCATGTAGAAATGAGGATACGTCTATGCCTACATACCACCTGACCGTCTTCTCACTAGCTGCCTGGGCCAGGAAACAGATTGACAAGATTCGTAGGTCTTTTCTATGGAAGGGGGAAGAAAATGCGAACGGGGGACATTGCCTCATCAAATGGCCAACTGTGTCCAACCCTAAGGAGTTTGGTGGTCTCGGGGTGCCTGACCTGGACAAGTTTTTTTTTGAGCGTAGACTCCTAGTGTACAAGTTGTAGTATCTGTACTCAACACAACACACTTACACCACCACACACACGCACACCCCTAGAAGATACAACCTATACACCTTAAGCGTCCTTCTGGAAATCACCGAAGCCACACGAGCCTCGTAGACGACGAGCACGTCGTAGTCCCATTGTAACGCCATGCGAGTGTCCAGGACCTGCAAGATTAAATTTTTAGGAATAAATCCCACGGTGGGAAATCACTGAGCCGAGCAGGGCTCGAACCCAGGACCGGTGGCTTCCACACCGGGAGAGCTCACCATCCGAGCTGAGGCTCGGTCCCCCTGACCTGGACAAGTTTGGTAGAGCACTTCGATTACGTTGGCTGTGGCAGGACTGGGTGGATCCCTCCAAGCCGTGGGCCAGCTCCGAGGTACCTTGCAAAACGACCGACAGATTGTTGTTCAATGCATCAACCATTGTCACAGTCGGAAACGGCATGAAAGCACAATTTTAGCATCATAGCTGGCTAGAGGGAGAGGCTCCCAGGAACCTTGCGTCGCAACTCTTTGAGCTAGTGAGAAGAAAGAATAGATCGGTCCAGTAGGAGCTCCAAAACGATGGCTAGATTCAATCTCTCGGGGGCAAGATCACAACGGCCACACACCTAGAGGAATTCATATCCTTATGGATCATAATACAAAACATCCTACTACAGCAGGGAGTTTAAGACTCCATTACTTGGAAGTGGACGCTTGATGGCATATACTCCACCCGCTTGGCATACCGCATACAATTAAGGATGCTATAGAAGATTCCGGCCAA